GATAGCTCAGCTGGTAGAGCGGAGGACTGTAGTGGGCTGTGCCGTCATCCTTAGGTCGCTGGTTCGACTCCGGCTCGAAGGACAAGCTGACGTTTTGAGGTCCAGAGCCACCCAACCTAACTCTGCCTTTGGGGAGTGTAGCAAAGTGCGGTGTGGTGTGTAACGCAGGTTCTCACGGTTTAGCCGCAGATTGTGCCACCTCAGGGAATTGGTGCCTTTGGGAACAACTCTGGACTGCCCGAGACCAAGGTGTCTGGCGCAGTGCCTGCTTTGAAGGAGCAGCCGCTGCCAAGCAGATGCGTACATATTGGTTTGAACTGACTGAGCTTTAGTGCCTTCCTTTTATTACAGTGTTCTAGCTGTGAATTTTCTCAGAAAAATTTGAAGTTTAATATCTAATATTTAAGGCCGGGCAGGGTGGTGCACGCCTGTAATCCCAGCACTTGGGATACTGAGGCAGAAGTATTGCAGTGAGTTCAAGGCCAGTTTGGGCTACACAGTGAGACCTTGTCTAAAACAAAACAAAAACTAAGATTTAGCAGAGAGATGTTATAATTAAAAGACATTATTTCAATGTGCTGTCCTCCTGGCATATTTAAATCTGCAGCATCGTATTTAGTTGTTTGTAAATAATTTATGAAAACAAGAACAAGGATATGTATGTGCTTGGCCTGGCTGAGATTTTAGTAGAACTTGCTTTTTTCAGAGCAGCCCAGCACCTGGTGGTCAGTGGAATACTGCCCTCTTCCGCTGGTGATCAGTAAATTTAAGAGGAACCCCCGCTGAGAATCACTGCCGTAAATTGAATCAAGGGCTATCTTAATTCTTTAGTGTTACCTAATAGTGTTAGCTGTTTTGGGTATAAGGATCGATTTGTATTGGGTGCTTAATTTAATTGTGTGTGTGTGTGTGTGTGTAGGTGTGGACTGTAGGTCTTGAACACCAAAAAAATGACTACAGCAAAAAACAAAACAAAATTGAGAACAGATAGGGGAAGATCCTTCCAAGAGGACAGCGTCATTTGGAGTGACTGAACTCAGTGGGAAGCCGTTTTGTATTCTGTGTAATAAAAATGTGTGTCCCACACCAAGTGTCAGACTGCGCTTTGACACTGACCACGAAAGTGTTGCTGAACTTGGTCAAACTGAAGGCAAGCGTTCCCTGAAGAGAAATCGAGGAAATATCATTCCTAGTATCTTAGTTTTTGCAACTATCCTTCTAAAACAAATCATCTGACAGTTACCAGCTGTCAGATTTCACTGTGCATAGCAAAACGTGGTAAGCCCTCTCTCATGAGGATTTTGTCAAAATGGTCATGTTGTCTGGGAGTGATTCTTCTTTGCACAATTTCCCGAACAACGATAAGATTGTGCAACGCATCTCTGAGATGCCACTTAGCAGAAACACCATTAAAGATAGACTCCTGCACCTGGCAGGTGATACTAATCAGCAGCTCACATGGAGCCTTTTATTCCATGTGCTTGTATGAAAGCACAGATATCAATAATCATGCAAGGCTAGCAGTAATTTTGCATTATGCAGTTGGTGACATTGGGAGAGAAGAGCTGGTGAAACTGCTTTTCCTGGAAGAGCACAAGGGATAGATATCTACAGTGCTGTGATGGAGGCATTTTTGTCACAAGACATGTGACCAGAAAAAGTGGTTTCAGTTACTAGTGATGGGGCACCTTGCATGGTGGGGGCAGCATCTGGTTTCATACAGTTCTTTGTGAAAGAAGCAAAACATCCAGTCATTCAGTTTCATTGTCTTATATATCAAGAAACTTTGTGCCAGGGAAATCAGCAAAAAAGTAGACAATATTCTCAAAGATGTCACATAAAAGCTGAACTACATCTTGGCTTATGCTCTTAACTTTTAACAGTTTCAAGCACTTTTTTTTTTTTTTTAATCTTTTTGAAACACTATGTAGTTCAGGCTGGCCTTGAACTCACAGTGATCCTCCTGCCTCAGCCTCCCAAGTGCTGGGATTACAGGTGCACACCACCACATCCAGGTTCAAAAATTTCTTGATGAGGTTCAGGCACAATATAATGCTTTATGTATGTACAGTAATGTCCAGTGATTGAGCAGAAGATGAGTCCTGGAGAGACTTGTAGTCTGCTTGAATGACATTAGGCTGTTTATTAATGAAAAAGGGGGCCTGGGTGTGGTGGTGCACGTCTGAAATCCCAGCACACTCAGGAGGCTGAGGCAAGAGGATCATTGCAAATTGGAGACCAGCCTAGGCTACAAAGTGAGCTCAAGGCCAGGCTGAACTGCATAGTGAGAGCCTGTCTCAAAAAGACCAAAAAAGGGGCTGGGGATTTAGCTCAGCGGCAAAAGCGCCTGCCTGGCAAGCGCAAGGTTGAGAGTTCGGTTCCCGGTACCGGAGAAAAAAACCAAATTAAAAAAAAAAAAAAAAAAAGCAGGAATATCCACAACTCACTGATACGGCCTGACTCATCAACTTCATTTTTTTTTTTTTTTGCTCATTTTGTGTTGTTTTACAGATTTTACACTACACTTCAGTGTACTGAACAAAAAACTACAAGGTATAGGGAAAACAGCAGAAAGGATATTTTGTGATATCAAAACATTTGAGAGAAAACTGCAGGTGTTTGAAAGAGACCTTGAAAGCGGGCAGTTGAAATGTTATCCAAATCTAAAAATACATTTAGAAATTCTACAACATTTGCAGACAATCCTAAAAGCCATCAGGGAATCTACAAGAAGTTTTCTAACATTGTAGCAGCTGCAAAGGAGAATTTTAGTAACAGGTTTTAACAGTTTTGTAAGATGAAGACAAATTTTGTGTTTTTTCACTTCTCCAGATAAAGCCAAATTTAAAGAACTTGATCTTTCCTGTTTACACTGATTAGGTTTTGGAAATCTAGAAATGGAGCTATTAAGAGTTCAAGAAAGCTCTATTTGGAAAAATAAATTCTATGACCTGAGTTCAAAATTTGAGAAGATAGAGAGTGAAGGGATGACAAAGGACAGCACAGTTAGTAGTTCTGAAAATGAAGTTCTAAGGTGTGGAATTCTCTGCCAAATAATTTTAAGTTAATGAAAGGACGTGGGATTGCTTTTCTTACTTTGTTTGGATCATCTTACACCTGCCAGCAGCTGTTTTCGGCTTTGACTTGTAGCACATCTGATACAAGAAACAGTAACATACCTGAGTGCTGTGTGTGTTGCTCTCAAACTAACAGAGTAAGAGCCAAGGTCTGACATTATCAGCATGCATACGATAGCAGAGGTCACATTAACTGTGCCAAAGCACTCCACATGCAAACTTTTACCTTTCAATAAAAGCCATTTGTATCACTGAAAGCTCTATTTCTGTACTTTATTTTAAGACAGAAGATGTTAATGTATGGGTTTTGTGTAAACTAAAACCTCAGTATTCAGGTTTAGTTACACTGTTGGCACTTTGCAATAAATAAGCAGGTTTAGCAAGACCCTGTCTCAAAAAGACAAACAAACAAACAAAACAAAGCTGAGTGTGGTGGCGCACGCCTATAATCCTAGCAGTAGGGAGGCTGAGGCAGGAGGAGACCAGCCTGGGCTACAAAGTGAGCTCAAGGCCAGCCTGAACTGCACAGGGAGACCCTGTCTCAGAAAGAAAGAAAGAAAGAAAGAAAGAAAGAGAAAGCAAGCAAGCAAGCAAGCAAGCAAGCGAGCGGGTTTGGGGCTGCAGTTTGGCAGTCGGTCTCTAAAAGGTTCCCCACCACTGGCTTCGCGCTACTAGGCTGAGGGTGGGCTTTCTTTTGACTTCTCTTGAATCCCACCTAGGGTGTTACCTGAAGCCAAAGCCCAGAGACCGAGGGCTACCGGACAGCGCAGAAAAACTTGAGGGTGTGGACATGTACCTTCCTTGCAGCCTGCAGGACTGTGATTGCAGGAGCACCCCTAACTGTGACCTCTGCTGCTCCGATTCTACACCACAACGCCCCCCTTTCCCCGCAAGAGGCGTTTTACACTTAGCTAGGGATCTTGTTTATGTAGTTCCACAAAAAGATAGTTTAAGGCAGGACAGGAAGGAGGGGAAGGATTTAATGTGAGTTAGAATGACCCTGGGAGAGCGAATTCGAGATAGAGGGAACAATTTAAGCAAAGGTTGGAGAAATGGAGGAGTCATTCCAATTCAGGGAAACTGCCAGGGGCCTACAGATCCGAACCCCCAGCCTGCGTGCTCACCCGGCAACCCACTGGGGCTCCCCGACTTTGATGTCCCTCAGTCTCCCCTCTAGGATTTTATGCGCCGGAAAGGTGGCGGGGAGGGTGCGGCTGTCCCGTGTCTGTCCGGGCTCAGGACTCCGGGTCCGCAGTGCAGCTCTGCTGCCGCCCTGGGCGACCTGCCTCTCTGCTAGACCCTTGGGACCCAGTTTAGTGGAACTCAGGCGAGTGCCCTCGGGCTGAAAAGCTGTCTCCCACTCCCCGCATTCAGCTGCTGAGTGTCCAGGACGCGGAGCAATGCAAATGAGCAAGGAGAGGGCCAGTCAGATGTAGAAGAACTGAGAAGAACAAAAACTGCGTGTCACAGGACAAAAAAACCCCAAACCCTCTGAGGCAGCTTGGCGTCCTGTTGCTGGTGTAAAATCCAGTAATATAATTCACAGGCGATATTAGAGAACACTCCTACACCTCGGCTCGTTGGTCTAGGGGTATGATTCTCGCTTTGGGTGCGAGAGGTCCCGGGTTCAAATCCCGGACGAGCCCGGCTTTTTGTCCACCTTTTTCTTTACTTTTCCCTTCCTCTTTAGCAACTACTAGGGATGGATAGATTTGTCTCAAACTTCCTCTCGTTTGGACTGACTGTCCTGCCCAAGAAACCCGACGGAAAGAATGCGCGGCAGATGGTCCTGGGGCCACGTCGGCAGGAGCTCTGGGTTCCCGGGCGCTTCGCTCCGGGGGACCGTGTGTTTTGGCGGGTGGGGGGGGCCTCCTCCGCGGGGCGGGTCCTGCCCGGGGCGGGGTAGGCGGGTCCGCGCGTGAGAGGCCGCGGGGAAAACGGGGCGCGGCCCCAAGCGCGCGAGCCCGAGCGCGGACCCCCTCCCCGGCAGGACCGAGCGCCGCAGCACACGCCGCCCCGCGCTCCGAGCGGACTCTGGAGCTCGCCCTCGCGGTGTGCGCCACTTCGTCGTTCTCGGAGGAGGAAGGGTGAGAACAGGCTCCCAGCTGCCCAGGTGCGCCGGCTCGGGCGAGGCCCCTCCCTCTCGGCGCGGGGCGGGGGCGTGGAGGGGAGGAAAGGTGGGTGTGCGGGAGGGGGAGGTTCCGAGCTCCCAGTGTGGCGTCTGTTCTCCGCGGCTGGGCGGAGGTGCCCGTGCGGAGGTCTCAATGTCCAGAACCCGGGCTCCGCATGGGACCACACGTTCTGCGAGCCAGGGGAGCCCCAGGAGGCCTGCGATTGCTCAAAACTAAGGAAACTTTGCTGGGTACCCACGATGATCATCAGATTTGTGAAGCAGGCCTCTCCAGTTTTTGCAGGCTGAACAAACTTTTGGGGACTGATGTTTTCGTTTGTTATTTTCTCTGCCTCCCCACCCTTGACCCGCCCTGAGCCAGTGTTGTGAAATTCTTGGAAACTTTTTCCAGCAGCCTCTGCTCCAAGCTTCCTTGTTGGAACACTGGGGTTCCAGTTCTTTTGCTCCGACACAACACATAAAATGGTGACAGCACATGGGTAAAACAGAACATCTTTATTTAGGAAGGACTGTAAAAATAAATTTAGTACTGCCCTGGAGCTTTGTAACAGTAAGACTATTATTGCCAAGTCACAAATGTAATCAGCACAAAACCTGGTGTCATATTTATCTAATTAGCACATGACCAAATTCCCAGAAGCAGCCTCACATATTCAAAGAATTACCTAACCGCACAGCCACTAACTAGTTAGTCCAGAAGGATACTTTCTATTCCTTGGGCATTTAGTGTTGCTTTTTCTGATCCTCAGTTTCCCCATCTGTAAAATGGGTGAGGGATTGACAAATGGTCTCAGAGGTCCCTGTCTGTCTTACCTGTCTGTCTTATTCTGCAACTGCGTGGACGGGTGCAGTGTTAGTAGCTTGGCTCTTGGATACAAGAAAGTACTCCAGGAATGTGGAGATGAACTATGGTTTGGCAGAGAGCACGGGATGCCCATGAACTGAACAGTGTGTGCTGGCTATGGTCAGAGAGCAGATGTCCGCTCATAAGCAGTAAAGGGTTTGTCAGGGTCCTGCTGAGAGCATTTGCCTAGGACTCAGACTGCAACGGATGGGTGAAAAGCGAACCAGTGTCAGCTGATGAAACCGCTAGGAGTTTTCACGTAATCTGTATTTGAGCAGAATGATCTCCGCGAACTCCTTTTCTCCGAAGAATGCCTGGGAAAGAGGGGATGGGCACAAAAACCAAAGTCTGTGGAGGAGGGAATGTTTAACTGTCTTTGGAAGTACAGAAAAGACTCAGTCAACAGTGCCCCACTGCTGGAGGCCAGACCCACCTTTTCGTGTGGGGTTTTCCTCCTTTGATCCTTGCTTTTGTGACTCACCCTAAGTGTCCTGTTTATAGGCTCCAAGATGTTTGCCTTATGAAGTAAATTTAGAGAGCATGTCCACCATTCCCTCCGTCACCTGCTTTATATTAGCACTAAAGACAGCATTGGAATGTATGCTTTCTATAAAGAGGGAAGTGCACTACTAGAGTCCCTGGAAGGAGAATGTCATGCTTTCTGTGCGTAAGGACTATGAGCTTCAGGGAGAGACAAAGGAAAAGATTCCAGGAAATAGGAATGGCTTTCAAGTTGTCTGAGCTTTTAAAAAATATGTAGCTTTTCTCAGTTGTCAGTTACTTCACGTGTATTAAATTACTGACACAGATATAATGTTCATTAGTGGACTAATTCCTTGTTGTATTTTGAAACACAAATGAGTAACTCCCTAGATGTGTGTTCATGAAATACTACATTTTTAAACTCCCATTTTCAAACATAACTCCCTGTGTCAAGTTCAAAAGGAAAACAAAACTGCCCTTTTGCATCGTCAGGGTGTGAGCAGGTTGTGACCTCTCCGGGGTTGTCAAGGGCAGGGCTAGAGGTAGAGAGGGTGCCTGGCCGTGTTCCGCAGCAGTGCTGGGTAACTCTCCAGCCAGAAGCTGCTCTGGCCGAGCCCGATAGTGCTTGAGCAATCCTTCAGGCCTGGCACTGTGTGGGTGTCCCTGTTGTCTGTGTGTTCTAAGTTAGGGTGGAGTCCCTATCTCTGAATCAGAGTGGGGCCACGTTGTTCAGGTCGTTGCAGGCCATGGGCGTTGGCTGCTGCTACCCCTGGGAAGGCCGAGTCAGTCAGTGACTGATAAGACCTTAGGGATGTTGCATTCATCTGCTACCACTGTTAAAAGCCAGGCCACCTCAAGAGGAACTGCCCTAAGAGGCCCCATGGGCCATGCCCTGGATGCAAAGGAGACCACTGCAGATCGGTCTGCCCTCTGAGGTGGAGGCCCCAGAGCTCAGACCCATGCTACCAGTTAGTCCAACAGGAATGAGAGGGCTTCGGGCATGCTCTGCCTTCTCCCTCTGGCCAGACCGTCATCTCCATCGAGGAGCCCTGGGTAATCATGACTATGGAGGAACAAGAAAACAGCCTGTTGCTAGTCACAGGTGCAAGTCTCTCGGTCCTTCTTTTCAATACTGGCCTTCCTTCCAGCCATCATACCTCAGTGACAGGAGTCACTGGTGAGGAGGTAATATGCTATTTTTGACAACCCTTAGGCTGTAACTACTTGTTAGATCCATCTTGTGTATCTCTGTCTTCCTGAGAAACCACTTTGAAGATACCACCATGTATTACAGCAGCCATTGATATTTTCCTACTAATCTATCCATAACTCTGTAATGTTTGTATTACTTCTATCCTATTTTGTAAATGGATGTATGTCTATTATTATGTGTTTCCTACAACAACAATTGAGAATAGTTAATGATTGTTCAATAGGTCACTCATGTATAGCTCTATTTATTTTCTTTAGAAGCCACTTTGAAGATACCAAAGCATAGTACAACAACTATTGATAATCTCCTACCTCTTTTGTCTGTAACTCACTATCATTTGTCTATTTGTTTTCCTGAGAAACTATCTTGTAGATAACAGTATGTAAAACAATAACCATTGATAATTTCCTACCACTTTGTCTGTAATTTGCTAAGTCCCCCCTATTATTATGTTATCCTTCTTTTATTCTTTAAAAAAAAAAGCCCGGCAGCTCTCCTCGCTACAAACAAGTGGCGGGTAACTTTTAAGAGCTCAGTTCTTTGGTGGCTGTTTAAAAAGTGCTCTGTTACTCATTTAAAATAGGTACCACTTGCGATTGGTATATTTTCCTGCTAAAGGAAAGGGAGCGTTTGAGTACTGTGCTGGGGGCCAGTGGGATCCCCCCATGGGGCCCCATGTCCCATTACTTCTCTTTGCCCCTGAAACACTTACAGCTTTAGCCCTCAGCAGAACAAGCTTTGGCATTTGATAGCAAAGCATCTAAAGTAGAAGCCTACCTGCCTGGTCAGAGGCTCCTGTGCCCTGAAGCACGTACTGAGGGAAAGCGTTTATGGAAGTTTGCTTAGTCCCCTTCTCACTACCCCGGCCTTTTATCTTTTAGCTCAGGATCTGGGTGGGGTTCGGGAAGGAAGGCAGAGGACAAGGACAAATGCGAAGATAGGCTGCTGGAGAGCTCCACAGCGGGTGCCAGTCTCCTGCCTCATGTCACGGTGTGTGGTGAGAAGAAAGAGCAAGAGACAGCAGGGATCGGGATGACCGGGTGTTTGTGAGGAGCAAAAGGCCCTGAGGGAGCCAGACCTTCGTATCTGCTGCTCACGTTTGTGTCAGCGACGCTGGTGAAGCGCAGCGAGTGTTTCTGGGAACAGAAGTGGCAACTACGGTGGGCTCCGAAGAAGACAGAGCATTCTTGCAAGGATGAGACAAGGGGCAGTAAGGAAACCAGTTTCCCAGGAGCCTTACTGTCTTCAGCAGGTCTTATCCTGCCCTGTGAGGGCCACAGCTTCACTAACCCTAGGGCTTCAGCTGTGACCAGAAGGCGGGGAATTTCCTCCTCCAGTCTGACTCAAAGGGCAGGACAAGGTCAGCCTCAGACACCCTCTAGACTCAATTTATAATTTGTGGTCCCTGACACTGGAACAGGGCTGTGCCCCAGCAAAGTTGAGGAGCTGGGGGCCTTTGTCCTTTTCTAGATTCTTCTTGCTGCCCCATTTCCTTCCCTAAGTCCTCAGGCCCTTCTTGGTACCAAGAACTGCTGTTAAAGCAAGGCTGGTGGCCCCAAGAGAGGAAACCTCCTCCTGGGTTGACACTGGACAAGTGTGGATTAACTGTACAGCCAGGGTCCCTGGGAAACTGGTGTGGCTGAGTTCCCCAAGGAGACTGGTGCTTATAACCCCGGCTGGGTATGGGTACAGCTGTGAGGTAATGTCAGCGGAGCATATTGGATTTGGAAAGCTCTATTTGAATTTCCTGCCCTCTGTGATCATTGTTCAGATTCATATTTGTTGAAGTGCTCTTAATCATAGCTCTCTCTTCTCTAATCTTGCTTTTTGCTGACTTCCAGTGAACAGTTACCCTGTAGGATAGAAACAATATGAAAGTGGTAACAGGAATTTGTTCTCCACTCTGAGGAGGACCGGAGTCCCCTTAGAGACGCGTGGGTGATTTGTTCTGTCGGGATCCCATTTGTTTCCTGCTTTAGCACAGGCTTATGATCACAGCACCCCGAGAGGCCAAGGCAAGGATCGCAAATTTGAACCCTGCTAAGTAAGATCTTGTCTCAAAATTAAAAAATAAAAAAAGGGCTAGGAATATAGCTCTATACAAAGACTCAAGGCTCAAGTCCCAGTACTGGAAAATGAAACAAACAAAAACCAAAACCTGTTGTTAACGTAGGCTCTAAAGTAAAGCACATCCCTAAGAATGTATATTAAATTACTGACAGCTGCTTAAAGAGTTTACCATTCTAGAACTTGTGCATGGGAGCCAGGATGGATACCTCAAAAATAAAGGCACATCAGCAACATTTCCAGAATTATTACCCAATTACGAGCAGAGCATTGCCGGGATCTTGCAAGCCTTCCTGCTCTGCCGGGCTCCTTGGTAATTCTACCAACCCCAACAGTGTCTGTAAGCCCT